AACAGTGCTGACTCTGCTAACACTAGTACTGCTAACACCAACACTGCTAACGCTAATACTGCTAACAGTTATACCATTGCTAACACTAACACTGCTAATGCTAATACTGCTAACAGTGATAACAGTAACAGTGCTGACTCTGCTAACACTAGTACCACTAAAACCAACACTGGTAACGCTAGTACTGCTAACGGATAGAACATTGCCAACACTTACACTGCTAACACCACACTGCCGATGATAAGATTGCTAGTGCTAATACTGCTAACAGTAATAGTACTGAGAATGATGATACTGCTAACATTGCTAATAGTGCAGTTGCACCTGACAAAAAAAGTCTAGATGTTATGCAGTGAGATGCCTGAGTATTTTGAGAGACAGTCATAACTATTTGAGTTTTTTGTGTGTGTGTTTTCCCCTGACGTTATACTGTTGGGTATCTGGTTGAATTTTGTCCTGATGTTGCGTACCTGTTCTGAGGTTCTCCTGTGTCCCTGGTTCTTCAGAGATAAGTCTGCAGCTGAGAAGCGTCGGCAGCTCATCCAGGAGTCCAAGTTCTTGGGAGGTGACATGGAGCACACTCACTTGGTGAAAGGTCTGGACTTCGCTCTGCTGCAGAAGGTCAGGCGCTGTGAATGTGTTGTGAATCTCTGCACAGTGCTGCTTCCTGTAAACTCACCTGTTTACCTGTGTGACAGGTGAGAGCTGAAATCACCAGTAAGGAGAAAGAAGAAGAAGACATGATGGAGAAAGTCCAGAAAGAGGCCAAGTATGAGCATCTTCAGTAGCTTTTTATTATTCATTTGGTTGTGATGTGAAATCAGTTACCTGTCTGTAACCTGTCTGTCTGTCTGTCTGTCTGTCTGTCAGGAAGGACGTGGAGCCGGAGGAGAAGATCGAGTTTAAGACTCGTCTCGGTGAGTCCTGATCACTGTGATTCACACCTGAGAGCTCTGTTGTTGTTGTTGTTGTTGTTATTCTCTTTAACATCCTTGTATATATCATATTACACAGTTGTTATAAATACATTGTAAGGTAAAGTATGTTGAGAACAAAAGTCTGAATATTTTGAGATAAAAGTTGGATCATTTTTGGAGAAACAAGTCAGAATATAATTAGAAGATACAGAAGGTCATAATTTGAGGAAAACATGTTTCTTGAAAAGTCAAATGCTTCAACAGAAAGTGTCTAAATAGTCTGAGATCATTTTGTCTTGGAATCAGAATCTGGTTGAGAACAAAGCTCTGCTGTGTAAAAGCAATAATCTCCCTTCAGGTCGGAACATCTACAGAACAGTGTTCAGATCCGGTCTGCCCGAGAGGAACGAACTGTTCCTGCCCGGCAGGATGGCCTACGTGGTGGACCTGGATGACGAGTTCACTGACACTGACATCCCGACAACTCTGATCCGCAGCAAA